GGAGCCGAGGCCGCGGCGCCCCCGCAAGCCCGCAGCCAGCTGCCGGAGCCCACCTCTGCGGAGACAAAGGTTAGAAAAAGAGGGGGTGAGGCTCTGAGAAAGCAGAATGCGGGGGGAAATTCGCCTGGGAAATCAGGAAAAAGGCCGTGAAGGCGAGCGGCGCCTGCACATGACCAGCCGCAGCCAATGACGACCGCAAATAGGTCATAAAAAGGTCTATTACCAAGTTGTAAATTTTCTTCAAACAAAAAGGAATTTACTGCAATTCCTTGCGGATTTTGCACATACAGCTCGCAAGCGCCATGTTTTTTCCTCTCTCTCTCCCTCCCGCCCTCCCTTCCCCTCTTTCTCTCCCTCTCTCTCCTCTCTCTGTCTCTCTGTCTCTCTCTCCCTTTTCCTCCCTTTCTCCTCTGTCGCTCTTCCCTCCTCCTCTCTCCTCCCTCTCTCTTAGGATTTTTCTTCTCTTTCTTAGGATTTTTTTCTCCCTATATTTGACTCAGAATCTCCGTGCGGGTGGCCGCAGCGTCGGAGGTCGTGAGTGCGAGTACTGCTGGTCGCAGGCCAGGTCGTCCCCGAAGCACCTCCCCCAGCCCTTGTCTCCCCTACCTGAGTCACTGGGCTTCACCTCCCCTCCCCTCACTAGAAGGCTGGTGTGGAAGGGCAGCCAAGCACTTTCGGTTTTTACCCTCTCATCTCGGGCAAGCCAATCCTGGTTGATGTTGACCAGAACCCCTCGGCCTCGCAGGCCAAGATAGCACGCTGCCTTGTCCCTCTCCCCTTGCTGTAAATTGAGGTCCCGTCCATTTCCTGGGGGTTTCTGCGGTGAGACAGTGGCCAAGTAGCCCAGAGGCCTGAAATGGTTTTAGGTGCTCGCCAAAATACTCTCCAAAATACCATCTTGACTGCCCACTACCTGGTCATTATCTGCACAGAAACATCCTCCTGGATGGTCTGGGGTGAAAGAAGTAATCTTTTGGATCCCCAGTGACATCTCTCTCTTTAGGTCTCTAAGAACAATTATCAGTTTTATGGACTTTAATTCTAGTTCCTTCTATGTCTGCACCCCAAATGTTTTTCCATTGCAGAGTCTGCTCAATGCAATTCTGAAGAGAGAATTTCCATTTATTCAGAAAGACAATGACTCCCCAAAATCACCCTAGAAGAAAAGGAACACTTCCTCAAAGGCAGGCATTGTATCCCATTTGCAGTGTGGTGTCTGTTGGACCTGGCGTGGGGGGGAAACCCCTGAAAGTGAATGGTCTTCAGCATTCCTCTCCCAGGCACGGTCACACAGACTTCAGTATCTGCCTGAAAGAGATAAGCACTACCTTGCCTGGGGGTTCCAGTAATATGTTTGTGCTTGCATTGGATATTTGTGTGTAACTTCTCTGCTGTTAACATTTCACACCCAGTAAGTTCCTAAGTGGATGATCACTTCAGCAGGAAATGGCATAGCATCCTCTGGGGCAGTTCATTTGTTACCCATAAGAAAGTTCCAATGATCTTGGATATTTTTATTAAAGAATTTCTGTTGCTATCTGTCAACAAGAGTCATTTTCTTTCTAAGGAAAACCAGTGGAAACCTTATTTTGCTAGAGGGAACCAGAGCAGTGGCCAGGTCCATAGAAATATTCAGTCTCTTACTCCATCCACCCCCGGGTGACCGAGGATTCAGCAAACACCTGGAAAACAGGACACAAGCCTGGATATGAAATAGCAACATCTTCTGCATTGAATAATGAAAATATGCTTTATTACCCAAGGCAGTGGGGCAAGTCATTGGGCCCTCCCACGCTTAGAACAGTGTACAATGATCTGTACACTTGGAACTGAGCAAAGAAATTATTCAGTTCTAAATTTTTCAGAAAAATAATGTTAATTTGCCTCTTTATCTTCTCCCTTTCTACTGAAATAAAAGCGCAGCTTTATGACCCTCCTTTTCATCTTGGGGAATGAGGGCTTGGTAAGAGGCTCTGTACTGAAAGGGCGGCCATATTTTTGCTTTTTCCCCTGTGTGGAGATAAGCAAGGTATTGATCCTTGTGGAATTTTACAAAATGGCATCCCTGAACTGACTTCTTTAGAAGCCAGGGAGCTCCACATGCTCTTTGTGTGTTTCTGATCCTTGCAAACAGCTGAAATCACCCCAAAGGCTTGGCTCTATCAGTGTTAACATTGGAGGTTCCCAAAATTTCTTTAAACAGTTTATCAAACTGGTTAAAGGCAGTTTAAAGGAAAACCTTCTCTAGGCAGGCTGCCGCAGTTCAAGGCAAAAAAACAAAAAACAAAAAAACTGCCTAGGCTTACCAAAGGGTACTCTGAAGGTTTATGCAAATTTCTGCCGCAAAAATGTTTGCTTGTTGCCAAAATGCTTGTAAGGTATACAGATCTGAACCAATTAGGAAGGCATCTTGTGTGTTCCTCACGCAGTCTGTCAGGTGGTGATACCATGATGGGAATGGGGATGTCTAGCCATTGTTAAGAGGAGGTGGTTGATTATATTTGTGAGATGTGTAACTCCTCAAAATCTTCAAAGACAAATCTATGCTGTTTCTAAACTACTAACGGAAACCTATCTATATTTTATAACATTTTTTGCATGTGTGTAATCTATGTGTACATGTAAATTCATATTTCTAATATGCCAGTAATTGCAACAGAGTAACTTTCTGTACCCAGCTATGATTTTTACCATGGTATGAGGGGCTGGTGGGGAAAGAACATACATTTCCAGAACAGCACTGAATGCTGTGGAAATGACACTTTCCCTTCCCTTCCTTCGATTTCCACAACCGCCCATGCATTGTGTCCTTCACCTGAATGTTGCAAAATCAGTAGCTATAAAATTGGTATTTGGGTGCATTCTTGAGCAGCAATCAGCAACTTTAGCTAATAAACAGGATTCCCTTTATATCCAGGGCAACTGGAATATAACCAGCTCGGGTCTTTGGACAATTTTTGCCCAGCCATGTTGTCACCTAGAGGTATCCTTGCTCTGTACCAGTGAACAGCATGGTCTCAGGAAGCACACAGAGCAAAAGGTTCCCAAATTCAGCATGGTTTGCAGCTGTCTCCTCTCCCTTCTGGTGCAAATGTTTAAACCTTGGCCACCCAAGACTTGTCTTTCCTGGCTTAGACTGACAAATGTCACAGCCATGGCCTCTTCCCTGGGTAGAAAGCCAAGTGCTGCTTTGTCTCTGACCCAGCCAATGCCGACATTTTTTTTGATATATGAAACAGGAGGTGAACAGTCTACTAACACTTTAAGGGGGTGAGGCTGGCTCAAAAGTAAAGACTCAGCTGGGTGTGTGTGGGCTCACCCGTGTAATCCCAGCATTTAGGAGGCTGAGGCAGACGTTCTAGGCCAGCCTGGAGTACATAGTAAGACCCTGTCTCAAAAACCCTAAACAATCTTCCTTTCTTACCTGTTAACTAAAAACAATCTGGAAATAATGTGTCTTTAAAAATAAATGTGGGTAGGGTGGGGGATTTAGCTCAGTGGTTCTGCTGCCTGCCTCACAAACACAAGCACAAGGACAGAGTTTGATCCCCACCAAAAAAAAAAAAAAAAAAAAAAAAAAAAAAAAAAAAAAAAAAAAGTGGCTAGAAAAGGAAGGGAGCTTTCCAATGTCTAATAAAGGTACTTTCCATTTTTTAGGGAAAAAAGTTACTTTATTTGATTTCTTCCCTTCCTCCCCTTCCCTTTCCCTCCCCTGTAAAATGGCAGCTGCAAGAGCAGCCTCCGATGGGAAAACAGCTATCTTGTTAAATAACAGATGCCAAACCCTGGCATCAACTGGGACTCAGTGGAATTAAACTGGGGTGTAACCTGGACCCAGGGGTCATCCCCTACTGAACTACAACTCTAGTCCTCTCTGAAGGTCAAAGCTTTCACAAGCACCTTAGCAGGGTTATTTAGAGCAGGATGAAGGCGGACAGCACTGCAGCACAGCCGGCCTTCTCAGGGAGGAGTGTCTCCCACCCCCGGCATTCTTTTAACTGTAGGGACGTGTGTTGCCCCCACCCCTCTCTTATCCAACAGAAGCCCTGAACAAGTCAGTCCCTGCCTCCGTGTGTGTCCTGGCCATTGTTCATGATTCGGGAAAGGGGATATTTGCGGCGCGCTGAAAAACATTAGCTCTAGAGAGACTCATTTCTTTATTAAGGAGCTAGCTATGTTCTGGAGCAGCTGTTTACATTCGGAGATTTTTGCGTTTGCTCTCCTGGCTTGTTTCAAATATGTGAGGCCATATCCTTCCTGAAGAAGAGCAGAGAACGTACCAACCGACATCTGAGATGCATACAGCAAGTTGGCTTAAAAGTAGCATGCGAACAGGGAGAGGGAGCAGAGTGAAGGAATACAAATAAATATGGCACCTACTCAAAAAAATCACAGTGACAACCCTGGCACAGAAACCTAGTGATTTTCAGAGGACTACAGTAAGATTCAAAATGAAAGCAAGGCGACTTGCTAGAGTAAAAAATGAAAATCTTGTAATTGGTTATTCAAGTATTATTCACTCTAGATTATTTAATTGCCATAATTTGTATGGACTACAATGATTAAATGTCAACTTTGACATTGTCCTGAAACTTGTTACTGGCCCAACACTTTCCTGCAATCTAAGGAAGCCGCAGAGCCTGGACTACACACTACACTCCAGCTAACATGTGCTTTTCCAATGTTTGGCCCAGACATTTCCCTGACATTACATTTGCAAGATACTCAAAGAAACCTTTTAGAAGTAAACAAAAGACATCCAAACCATTCATTATAAAAGATAAAAGAAAAAACATAAATAATACACTTTAATCAAATAATATAAAGTAAATATTTTGCAGGCATAAATTTTAAAAAATTAATAGACCTCTTTTAATTTACTCATCATAAAGAAAAGATTTAAACTGTTCAAGTGCACTTGTTTTAATAAAGCATTTTATATTCAATTATTTAGTGCTAGTCTTTAGGAAGTTTACGTTGTTGAGGCAAATCACCAGCTCAGACGTTAAAAACTACCATTATAAAAATACAGCTACAAGGTCAGTATCAAATTACCCTTTCATAGGACCGCATAAGGACTGCTTCTGTGCCATACTAGAAACTTTTTTAAACACCCAAATCCCTCTCAAAGCGTAGAAACCTCAAGAGCAGTGACATGAAGGTAGCTTGAAACACAGGTAAGGTCCTTTCCAAAAATGAAAAGGGGCGGTGTCCACCAGCATATATTGATCATTAGTTTTAATTGTCTATGGTAAAATTTTAAAGAAGTTAATTTGCAGGGCCTTCAGCTCTGTCTTCCTCCAGCTCTTGAACTTCCTTTTTGGTCTCCCCATCCTTCACCTCCTGCCGGGAAACGGGAAATTTGTCCTTGTTGTTCTCCTTTTTCCATTTCATTCTCCTGTTCTGGAACCAGATTTTTACCTGTCTCTCCGTGAGGGCTAGGGCGTGGGAAACCTCGATTCTTCTCTTTCTGGTCAGATAAGGGTTAAAAAGGAATTCCTTTTCCAGCTCTAGGGTTTGGAAGCGACTGTAGGTTTGTCTTCCTCTTCGCCTACCAGGAGCTGCTGATTAAAACAAACAAACAAACAAACAAATGGGAAATCAACGTTTTAAAAACGTGATGGTGTCTCTGCATATTGCTGGAGGTTTCTGAAACTCAAAACTAGTCTAAGGGTGAAATATACATAGTGATAGATAGATACTCAAGCAAGAGAAGCAGAAAGGTCTTCACAATTACTGTTCCCATCATCTCTACACTGTTTCTACTTAAAAAAACAAAAAACAAAAAACTGTGTTACTTTATGAATAGGAGCCACTGTGGCTTCACAAGAAGGAAAAGGAGGGGGAGAGGGAGAAGAAAGGGGAGTTTTAAAGCCAGAACGTGAGATGAAAGCAGATTTCTCCCCTTCTCCCCGTTTAAAAAAAAAAAAAAAAAAAAAAAAGCATCCCAACCTTGTGGTCTCATCCAGGGAAACATTTGAGAAGGAGACGAGCTCTGATTTAAGTGGTCTGGGTCCTCGCCAATATTACCACTGGACGATTTACAGTCAGGATATTGTACCAGCTCGGCCTCTTGCTGGGTCGTAAAAATCGGCTGTCTCTGTAAGTTATCGTATCCGTAAAACTTCGCGGGCTCCCCGTGACAGGCAATCCCGCCACAGGGGGGAGGCGGAGGATGCGGAGGAG